AACCCCAAACCCAAACCCAACCCCAAACCAAACCCAACCCCAAACCCCAACCCCAAACCCAACCCCAAACCCAAACCCAAACCCAAACCCAAACCCATAACAAGAATAGTAGACAGGGCAGGGCAAGATAAGTTTATTTTTTATTATTAATTTAGGAATAACATAGGAGTGGGTCACAGATACAGCACCTAAGTTCTAAGTCTCGATTAACCAAAGTGAGTAGCTAACCTTCAAAAATTTTGCAAAATGGTTAATCAGTATATTTGTACCCTTCAGGCCTCAGTATTCTGTATAAGTCGACGTACCCTCGCTCAGCAGACTGCCCCCTTACGAGCTTACGGAATACAATTAATAAAAAAAGAAAAATTATATAAAAAAAAATAATTGATTAATGTTTTAAATAGTTCATCATGAAGGAATTATTATTGTTTTATTTACAATATCACCCTAGGAATATATTTATTCAGCCCGCATATAGAAATTTTAACTTGATTGAGCTTATTTAATCAAAATTAAAATATTAAATCTTAAAAGTAAGTCGAAAAGGTCTAAAAAGGAGTAATCAAAAATTCTAATTTTCTTTAAAAATAATTAAAATATTGGAGATTATTATGGCTTAGATAATAGAAGTAATAAATTCTTTGGCTGTTATGAGTAGTGGCAAGTAAACAAAGATCATGATGATAGTATAATCATTTTTTTTGTAAATAACAAAATGATGGAAAATTAAATTTTGATCAAGCTTTGGGAGCTTTGATTTCAATATTTATCTATTCTTGATTTGAATGCATCAGATAAATAATACTTTTTTAATTTTCAATCAGATATATTGTTATTAATTTGATAAACTATTTTAAAGTTTACTGAATAACTTGAAATGCGATTAGTTGTAATATTGATCATATGCCATCTCTTATCTTATTGCTATTAGATTAAATAAGAATGAGGTAAATCTAGCTTTAAGTTCAAGGATTTACAATTAGCATAGGTCATATAAAAGATCAAAAATTTTAGCTCGCCCAATATGACTTGGAATAAGCCGTTGCACTTTCTATTTTGTAAATAAAGACTGTACTAGGAAATAATATTACTTATAGGTGATTTAATGGAGGACTGATGAATTTAGTGATGCATTTAGATTATGAAATAAGTATGCATTTTAATAGGTTAAATTTTGATACAGATTATGGAAGAATAATTAGAGAGCATTATTAATTACTTTAACATTACCTACTGGATTGATACTTTAGAAATTAATTCTTCTTTAATTCTTGCTAACTTGGATTAAACTGATTAAGATCAAGATTTATGAACTGATAAGTTTAGAGAAGAAGGGGATCTTATAATTAAATGGAAAATGTTTTAAATTACTAATTTTTTAGGATCGTAATTAACACCAGACTTAAGGATCTTGAGTATTAACTTATTTACGAAATCATGAAAATGTGAGTTCATAAACTTATTTTCAAAATTATTATACTTAAAAGTTATATATTTTCTAAAAATAGCTATTATGATGAGAATGGTTAAAAAATGAAAAATGCATATATTCATTACTTAAACCGTAATTATTTAATTTGGTTTGACTTTGTGATCTTTAGATATTTTTATTGGAAAACTAAGATGTGAATACGATTGGCTAAAAAAAAATATATTAATTACACTATTAAATTAGGATTTTAAACTAAATGTAAGAAACTATTTGAAAAATAACTTTCTTTTATTACCTTATAGTTTTTTAAGTCTATATTAATAATATTACAAATCTAAATGAAATTCTTCTTTTTTGAATCAGTTTCCAAAAATAAATCTAAATATTCTAAATCTGTAAATAGACTAAATGTTTTTATGAATAAGAAAGTGAATCAATTACTTCGAAATATTTTCAATTTTTATTTATTTCGAAAGATTTTAGAGAAGCTAAATTCAATTTATAAGGCTAATATATGGGTTGGTATTAAAATCTTAAATTATAGTTTGAATTAAGATAATTTTATAATCGAATAACTAGCTTTAACTAGCAGTTAAATTTTTTATTGAAGTTATTTCTATTCTGTATTTATCAAAAAATTATGATAATTAAATATTATAAGAAATTCTATTTGATTATTTTTATATAAAAAATAATTAACTCTTTTATGATTTTTTATTTTAATAAATTTTTAGATAGTTAATCTTTTTCATTTTTAAATTTTGATAGAGTGAATTTTTATAAATTTTCCTTGCATCATCTCAATATAGTGATAGTAACATATTCGAAAATTACCAATTAGTAAAGATTTCAATAAATTTTGTCGAATAGGAATTTTAAAGAAATTTTATGAAAATACATTTAGTGTCCAGTTAATTAAGAAAGTATTTTGACTTATTGTAATTTTTCAACATCCCTTTTTTTTATTCTTCTATAATCTTGCAAATATTAACAAACCTCCTCTGGTTTTGATATTCTAATATTCTATTTTAAGTCATTATCATACAATTATAAATGGTGAAAGATAACAAAATTAAAAGTATATATAAATCTTAAGGTAAAGTTATTTAATTTATTCAAATTAAAGAAGCGTTCACAAATCATATTGTGATGTTATATTTATAATATTCATTTCATATTTTTTCTAACCTGAAATCCTTTGTTTTTATCATCATATGTTACAAAATATCCTCCATTAACTGTTATCGCTCCAACAATATACTCAGTTTCAAATTTGATTTACTATTCCAATATCAATTAATTATTTTCTATTTTCGTTAAATATAAACATTTGCCACTTTTGTGGATTAATTGTGAATTTTCTTTAATAAATTACATGCTAAAATTATCATAACTTTCACTAATGGAGTTTAGTTAAAGGTCCTCTCTTTTTCGATAATTTTTAGTACCTTCTTCGATTTGATAAATGTGTAATACATCAATACCTTTAGGTTAATATACAAATTATTCATCGTCAATAAAACATAAGCTATAACCAAATGTTGTAATAATAGTTTATTTCAGAATCCAAAGCTATGAATTAGTATCTAATTAAAACACCAAAAGTTTATCTCCCCATGCTTGACATGAAATTAACTAGTTTTATGAATGATTTAAACTTAAATTGCTAACCCATGCATCATGATTTTTTAGAGTTTGAATACAGGTCCATTGTTATCCTTTTTTCCAAAATTTGATTGAATTGTCGCGACTTCCAGAAATAATAACATTTTCGTTGTCATTCATTATCATACATTGAATTGCAGAAATATGCGCTCTTAATATTTCTGAACAATACCATATACTCTAAGAATTATCAAAAGACCATATTCGAATGGTCTTATCAAAACTTCCTGAGATGAACTAATTAAAGTGTTTCATGAAGTGCAAACATTACACTATATTAGTATGTTCTGAAAGTTCTTAATTGAATTTTATTTCTTCATTTTTGAAATCATATATTCTTATTTTATTACTTAAATGCCCTGAGATCATAATGGAAGAATTTTAGTTAAAGGCTATAGCACGGCAAAGATCCTCCTGGAAAACACTTTTATCTATAAATTATTCAAATATTTATTCATTTGATTACGCTTCATCATTCTAATTTGCATACTTATTTAATTCGTCAAATGTTTCTATGATATCATTAGTTGTATAAAGACCTGTATTATTTATTATGTCTTCATAAAGTTCCTATTATTTCGATTATAACAAAAAAACTGATTGAACAATATCATTTGACAAATCTGAATACTTGAAGAGATTTGATTTTATATTTTTCCAGGCTGCTAAAAATGACACTGTTTCCTCCATCTTTTGAAAGGACCTTGCTATTCCTTTGATTGTATCATTAATATTGTATATTGAATTATCTATTTTTACAATATTTTTATCAATTTCCTTTGAAATGTATGATTTCCAATTTGCTAAATATATTTTAATTTTCATTAATATCTCAATATTTTTTTTGCTTTGGTCATCTAATTCTCTTATGAAAAGATTTGAAATATTTCCAGGTAATACCATAGCATCTTAAATAGATGGAAAACTAATTTCTTAAGCAGCAAGTAAATCTGTGATGCAATACATGCATAACCTTCCTATGCTCTTTCCAATTAGGACTATCTCTTTATGGTGCTTACCACATTTTGAAAAAGTTGATTATTTAATCATGAAAATATTTTTTTTTTCAATTATATTGCAATGTGTATATTGTTTTAAAAATAGAAATTAAATCGATTGAAAATATCAGAATTTCTTATTCTTCATTTAAATAAATTAAAAACAAGTTCTCTATTAGTTTATAAATCATTTGATCCGATTAAACATATTCAACTATAACAAATCAAAAAAACCGATAAAAATCCAGCAACCTAGAATTTTCAATTTAAAGAGGAATTAAAAGTATGGTGGCTTTATTTTTGTTTATTTGAAAATGATTACTACAGTTTAAGTTTATAGAGAGGAAATTACTTCTTAAATTAGAGAGTTGGCTTGAATGAACTTAAAAATGAGTCTGATCAATTAAAAAATGATGCTCAATAATTCAAAAATGAATTAATATAAAATAGAAAATGAAAATTAAGAAAACGTAGAAACACCATTAAATATATTTGATAAACAAAACTATTAATGTAATGTTATAAATAGAAAAATATCATAAGTTATTCCTACAGTGTCATTTTTNTCATACATTGAATTGCAGAAATATGCGCTCTTAATATTTCTGAACAATACCATATACTCTAAGAATTATCAAAAGACCATATTCGAATGGTCTTATCAAAACTTCCTGAGATGAACTAATTAAAGTGTTTCATGAAGTGCAAACATTACACTATATTAGTATGTTCTGAAAGTTCTTAATTGAATTTTATTTCTTCATTTTTGAAATCATATATTCTTATTTTATTACTTAAATGCCCTGAGATCATAATGGAAGAATTTTAGTTAAAGGCTATAGCACGGCAAAGATCCTCCTGGAAAACACTTTTATCTATAAATTATTCAAATATTTATTCATTTGATTACGCTTCATCATTCTAATTTGCATACTTATTTAATTCGTCAAATGTTTCTATGATATCATTAGTTGTATAAAGACCTGTATTATTTATTATGTCTTCATAAAGTTCCTATTATTTCGATTATAACAAAAAAACTGATTGAACAATATCATTTGACAAATCTGAATACTTGAAGAGATTTGATTTTATATTTTTCCAGGCTGCTAAAAATGACACTGTTTCCTCCATCTTTTGAAAGGACCTTGCTATTCCTTTGATTGTATCATTAATATTGTATATTGAATTATCTATTTTTACAATATTTTTATCAATTTCCTTTGAAATGTATGATTTCCAATTTGCTAAATATATTTTAATTTTCATTAATATCTCAATATTTTTTTTGCTTTGGTCATCTAATTCTCTTATGAAAAGATTTGAAATATTTCCAGGTAATACCATAGCATCTTAAATAGATGGAAAACTAATTTCTTAAGCAGCAAGTAAATCTGTGATGCAATACATGCATAACCTTCCTATGCTCTTTCCAATTAGGACTATCTCTTTATGGTGCTTACCACATTTTGAAAAAGTTGATTATTTAATCATGAAAATATTTTTTTTTTCAATTATATTGCAATGTGTATATTGTTTTAAAAATAGAAATTAAATCGATTGAAAATATCAGAATTTCTTATTCTTCATTTAAATAAATTAAAAACAAGTTCTCTATTAGTTTATAAATCATTTGATCCGATTAAACATATTCAACTATAACAAATCAAAAAAACCGATAAAAATCCAGCAACCTAGAATTTTCAATTTAAAGAGGAATTAAAAGTATGGTGGCTTTATTTTTGTTTATTTGAAAATGATTACTACAGTTTAAGTTTATAGAGAGGAAATTACTTCTTAAATTAGAGAGTTGGCTTGAATGAACTTAAAAATGAGTCTGATCAATTAAAAAATGATGCTCAATAATTCAAAAATGAATTAATATAAAATAGAAAATGAAAATTAAGAAAACGTAGAAACACCATTAAATATATTTGATAAACAAAACTATTAATGTAATGTTATAAATAGAAAAATATCATAAGTTATTCCTACAGTGTCATTTTTCTCCATAAAAAGAAAATGAAAACAGATAAATTGAATAATTAGCTTATCCTATTTTTACAAAAAGAAGTTATCTTCTATTTTTCTCGAAATTTTATAAAAATCTGGTTACTTTTAAATGAAAATTCTAAATATTCTTTAATTTAGTTTTACAAACCAAAACTTTTCAGTTTAACATTAAGAGAATAATCATCTTTATCACAATTCACATTCTAATAATATACATTGGAATTTATTTTCATTTTGAAAGAACAAATGTATAAAAAATAATCATTCCTTGAGAAATTTCTATGAAAGAATTGATAATAAATTCATTGATATTTCATAAACCCATCATCCTAATAAAATTCATATTATCATATTATCGTTTCCAAATTCATGAAATGTTCAAGGTTCTTCACATTAATAATTACTATCATTGGGTAGACAATCCTCATTTTAAAATAAATTGTATACAATAATATCCTGGTAGTTATTAAGAAAGATAATTTCTATAGTAAGGCCTAATCCTCATGATATCTATAAATATAAAATAATTAAGTTATTCCTATAGATACTCTATCTTTATTGATTGCATTTAATTTGGAGGAAAAATTGAAAATTTATGCAAAATTTGAGAACCTTAAAAATTTGCAAACAAAACGACAAGGGATACTTTTGCTCTATCAACTTAATGTATTTCAAAAAAAATATTTTGTAAAACTACATCATGAAAAAATTAGAAGCAAATACCTGAATTGATAGGTTTGTATTGTAATAATTAGATATTCCATTTAATTTTTGTGCGACTGTAAATAGTAATAGATAATCCAACAATTTGAGAGAATAATCAAATCTGCTATTTAATAATATGCTATTATAGATCATTTATCAAATTTAACGCTTTTTCAATTTCAGGATTGAGAAATAACATATATAAATTATTTTTATTTTAGGGTAAACAAGAAGATATTCAAATATATTGTTTTAATTTTAACTGAAGGAATTTTGATACTTGGTTTGATCTATTTTAAAAATATATTTCTTAAATTATTTGCCTGATTTTTTTATAACAAAACTTCTAATTATTGAATAAAAAACAAAAATAGTTAATTAAAACTTATAATCTTTTTGATGAGAATCAATTTTACTATTATATAGATTATGTTTAGTTTTCTAAAATATAGGAGCCTTTTTATTAGAATAATGTTCTTAAATCAATGCCTGATTGGTTCAAAAATGTTCCTTTAAGAATTAGAGCTTCTTATGCTTAAAAAATTATTTATTTTGATATTAGAAGAATTGTAAAATTACTTGTAGCTAAATATGATAACAAAAAATATTACTCTTTAAAATTGAATTTTTGGAACTTTTTGATTTTTCTAATTAGGAACGGATATCTTAATAGCGTCTATCAGTTCGATAAATTGCATCTCCTCTTTAAACATCCCATAAATTGATTGACTTATCATTACAACTTATTTCTAATGTTTGAAGGTCATCCAAGAAGCTTACTTAATAAGCAATTTAACTATTATCACATAACTTTGCTTTCTATTATCCAGTTTTAACATCCCATAAACGAATAGAGTTATCATAACTACCAGATGCTAATGTAGTGCCATCAGTTGAGAAACAGATTGAATTAACAAAATTTGTATGACCATTTAATTTTGTTTATTATTTTCCATTATTAACTTTCCATATCTGTATGGAATTATCATAACCACCAGACGCTAATAGAGTGCAATCAGGTGAGAAGCACAATGTAAGAATTCCATTGCTTTGACTATCTAATTTGAATTTTTTTTTTCCTGTCTAAACATCCCACATATAGATTGACTTATCTACACTACCTGATGCTAATGTACCATCGGCTGAGAAGCATACTGCATAGACAGATTTACTATGACCATTAAATTAAGCATATTGCTGTCCTGTCCTAACATTCCACAAACGGATAGATTTATCTTCACTACCAGATGCTAGTGTAGTACCATCAGCTGAGAAGCATACTGAATAGACAGTAGAACAATGACCTTCTAGCTTCACTTGTTATTATCCTGTCTAAATATCCCATAAAAGGATAGACGTATCATCACTACCGGAAGCTAATTTCATACCATCAGCTGAGAAGCATACTGCATAGACAGATTTACTATGACCATTAAATTAAGCATATTGCTGTCCTGTCCTAACATTCCACAAACGGATAGACTTATCATCGCTACCAGATGCTAGTGTAGTACCATCAGAAGAGAAGCATAATGATTGGATAGCTTTACTATGTCCTTATAATTTTGCTTTTTATTATTCTGTCTTAACATCCCATAAATGAATGAAATTATCATCACCACCAGATGCTACCGTAAGACAATCATAAGAGAAGGAAACGGAATAAATAGTTTTCTAATAACATGGTGCTTACCCTTTTTTAAAATTCCAAAGCCGAATAGAATTATCCCTACTACCAGATGCCAATAAAGTGCCATCAGAACAGAAGCATACAGATTAGACATAATTAGTATGACCATCTAACTAATGTATTTATTTTCCATTTTCAGCATCCCATAAACGTATAGAAAAATCATTACTACCAGATGCCAATGTATTATTATCAGGAGAAAAGCATACTGATTGAATATGACTAGTATGTCCATTTAAAACAGCTTTTTACTGCCCTGTCTTAACATCCCATAAATAGATGGAGTTATCATTACCACCAGATGCTAATAAATTCCCATTAGGGGAGAAGCAAACTGAGATAACTTCTCTTCGATGCCCATCTAATTTAAACCTTTGTTGATTCTTATTAAAATCCCATAAACAGATAGACTTATCATCACTGCCAGATGCTAACATAGTACCATCAGTTGAGAAGCTTACTGAATTTACGCAATTACTGTGATAACGAATTTATAATATTTATTTTCCTGTCTTAATCTGCCATATACGTATAGAAGTATCAGAGCCGCCAGATGCTATCTTACTACCATCAGGTGAAAAAGAAACTGAATAAATAGTCCCATCATGGCCTTCCAACTTTAATTGTTGTTCACCTGTTTCAACATCCCATAAACGGATAGACTTATCCCAACTTCCAGAAACTAACATAGAACCATTAGGAGAAAAGCTAACTGATTAAACCTAATTAGTGTGGCCATCTAATTTTAATTTTAATTTTCCCGTCTTAACATCCCATAAACGTATTGAGTTATCTGCACTGCCAGATGCTAATAAATTTCCAACAAATTAGAAGCTAACGGAATAGACGGTTCCATCATGACCTTCCAACTCATTTTTTTATTAATTTGTCTTAACATCCCATAAACGGATATTCTTATCCAAACTACCTGAAGCTAATATAGAACCATTAGGAGAAAAGCTAACTGTTTAAACCCAATTAGTGTGACCTTCTAATTTCTATTTTTATTTCCCTGTCTTAAAATCCCATAAAATTATTGAATTATCTGCACTGCCAGAAGCTAATAAGGTACCATCAGGAGAAAAGCTTATTGATTAAATCCAATGAGCATGGCCAACTAATTTTTATATTTAGTGCCCTGTCTCAACATTCCATAAAAGTATTGAGTTATCTGCACTACCAGAAGCTAATACGGTACCATCAGGAGAATAGCTTACTGATTACACTTAATGAGTATGACCATCGAATTTTTGTTTTTATTGTCCTGTCTTGACGTCCCATAATCGTATTGAGTTATCTGCATTAGCAGATGCTAATTCAGTACCATCAGGAGAAAAGATTACTGAGTGCACTTATGGAGTGCGATCGTCTATTTTCAATTTTTATTTTCCAGTTTTTACATCCCATAAACGAATTGAGTTATCTGAGCTACCAGACACTAATGAGGTACCATTAGGAGAAAAGCATACGGAAAGCACAGGATTAATATGGCCATCTAATTTTTATTTTTATTTTTGGGTCATCACATCCCATAAACGTATTGAATTATCTGCACTACCAGATGCTAATATTCTATTATCAGAAGAGAAGCTTACCGATAGCACATAATTAATATGTCCATTTAATTAACACATCATTTCTCCTTTCTTAACATTCCATAAGCGAATAGAGCGATCATGACTTCCAGATGCTAATATTTCACCATTAGGAGAAAAGCATACCGATCGAACTTAATCTCTATGACCAGCCAATTTGTATAATTCCTGAATTTATAAATTTTTCCAGGTACAATTTACTAGCAAAGCTCCATTTAAATTTATTCCGCTTATGTCTACATTTTCAAAATTAGATCCACTCAAATTACATTTCGCAAAATTGGCTCCTGTCAAAGAAATATTTTTAATATTTATATTTTCAAAACATTATCCTTTTAGATCGACCTTCAGCTAGACTAATAAATATAGTGAATTAGATCCACATTATATAAATTTATTTTCAATAGTTGTAAAGAGAACTAAAAATTTTAAGAATTTGAAAATCTTTTCTTCTTTTTGTATATTTTTTATTAAGTCTTTTCTTTTTTATAAGTAATCATCTGAGGAATAGTCCTTTTTATTAAAGTCAAGATCCTCTATATTAGTGAGAACATTAGCAATAAGCTTAATATTATTTTTTACAGCAAAAAATTATGATTATTTTTCGATAGATGATAAATTTCCAATTTCAGATATATATTATTCGTAATGCTTTGAACTACAACCTTGTTAAAGAAATTTTAAACTATCTGTGGTCTACTCTTTTCTTAATATTTGATTTATAACACTATAGATTTATTCATCAATGTCTTTTGTTTAAGTTAAAACTTATTATATATCATCTTTCCATTCATAAACTTATCCCTTTTATTTAACTTTTAGGTCACTTTATAGATTCATATATTTACTTTATTAATGATGTAATCCCTTTCATTTCTGTAATTAACTTTTAACCAAAAGCCTTAACTTCTTGATTCCACCAATTCAACCCCTATTCTAATTACATCAAATAAATTTTTTTCTCATCTTTCCAGTCATCTAAAGTTTGTCTTTTTACAACATTTATTAATTTTTCTAAGTTAGCAATCGGCAATTCTGCTAGACTTTTTTCTTCTTCTAGGAAATTAAAGAATGATTTATCTTCCATCTCAATCATACTATAAATTTATTTTATTGAATCTTATAATTCTTCCAAAGTGCTCTTTATCATTTGTTCAGTTTCAGAGAACATTAATTTAAAATTTATTTCTTATTCCCTTAATTCAAATGTCTAATCAAGTTAGTGCATTTATAATTTCTTAACTACCTAATCTTGAAATTAATCTATAGGAGCAGTTTATTCTAAATGATTTTTATGCTCATAAAGGCAGTCAATACAAAGTTTCCTTTAACATTTGTGATTAGCAATGCATATCATGGATATTGGATATCTTGTATGATAAGTGCAATTCATAGTGAAAATATAATATTTTGAATTTCTATTATTTTTTTAATTTATAAAAACTTATAAATCTGTCGTAATATATTTAAAGCGATACTATATTTTTGTAAATTACATCACTCTAGACAATTTATGAAATTTTGATTCTAACTAACAAAACAAAAGTAGTTTAATATCTAAACAATATTCATCAATACTAATCTTAATTATAAAACTTACTATGATTTTAATATTAAGCAAAAAACCCAAATATGAATTTATACACATATTGATTTAATATACAATCTTTTGAAATATTAAATTTAAGAATTTAAGTTCTATTTCAAAAAGAAATAAACTTTTGCTTTTTATTGAAATTTATTTAATATCATTTAAGTCTTCTTTAAACCTCAATATCTGTAGTTCTATTATTCAGTCAACACTAAGAACTGTGTTAACTTACCTTTGAATCTGAATTTCTAATTTTATGATTTCATTTGGAAAAATGATATAATTTGAAATTCTAGCCTATGAAACCAGATCACATACACATGGATTAAATTTTAAAAGTCTTAAGGAGTGAATTAAATTTTAACCTTGTAAATGAGGGCTGAAAATTTAATGAATGATCCTTTAAGATTTAAACTTCTAACTTTCCACTATTTAATTATAAAAATTATAATTATAGTAATAAAATAATATATATTT